GTGATGTCATGTGGTGAATTGATCAGTAGGCGGCGTTTTTATAGAGATGATCTCTTAGCTACTCCGGAGCAGGTTAGCCGTTCAGCCTAAGTTACCATGGCGATCTATCTACCCTGGTAAGAAGTGAACCACTGTCCTAGTACTGAAAACCCAGAGTTCACCCTGAAGTTATCTGGATAAGCTCAGATCCTGCTCTTATAGGCCCCTGGACTCTCCTGACCTGAAGGAAGCAGCACTGACTTCATATTCAAAAACCATAAGAAGCAGCAGGCCTGCATCAGAGACAGAAGTGGAAGCTCATGTTATTTATTCTGCCAGCAGGAAGAAACTGGAACTGCAGCTCTGACTGGTGATTTATCATATTAATCTGCTGCCACCTGCAGAAGGACACATATTGTACGATAAAGTTCCTATATTCATGTTCAGTTTGCATTTTCTTTCTTGTGTTTTTTCTGCCTCTCTCTCTGAGAAAAAGTCTCTGCCTTTCTTATTTTGTCTGCCTCTGATTTTTATCAAATAGGAACAAGGACATGTTTGATGTTTGGTGAGGAGGAGCCACAAAGGACAGTGATGGCAGACCATTTGACTCGTCCTGTGAGTAAGTTTGAGAGTCAGGGGGAGGGAGGAGTGAGGGAGGTACACATCTCTTCACAGGAAAAGACAGCACAGTGCGGTCTGAGCACATGAAAGGCACGAGGCTTTGTAGCAAAGTATAAAAAGAAACTGTGAAAACGAACCTACTTGCTTCTGACTAAATGATATCAGCCTCTTTATTTGTCCAAGTGGAAAAAATCATAAAGAAAATAAACAATGATGGAATAAAGCAGCACACTGTGGTGACAAACATTGTCTGTGTGAGTAAAAAACCCACCATGAAAACGTCAGCCTTGACCAAAAATATCAAATGACTTGCTGTTTTTCACACAACAGAGGATCATCACTGTCTTAAGGCTCTTCTGAGACTGTTTTGAGGTGGGTGTGGCCACCCTGCTAGGAGCAGTACATGTGAACTTTGACTTTGACTTTGAGTGGATGTGTTCATGTGAGCATGCACACTGAAGTTAGGGCACAAGTTTAACAACTTTACCAGATACCAGAACAATTGATAGCATCACTTTCACTCTGAGAGAAATACAAATGTGTCTGCAGAAGAAGTGGCTCTTCCTTTCATTTGTCAACAGGTGCATGTGACGGCAGCAAAACATTCTTGCTCCAGCAAATATCCAGTATCTTAAGTGTAGGATATCAGGTGGGAAGAATTAAGATGAATTTGTTTAAAATTTTGTAAAGAAGATTAAGGCAAATATATTTCCTTGGTAGTTTAGTTTTGATTGTCAAATGCCTATTTCTCTGTTGCTCTCTCTGTCGTATTGATGTTGTTTGTCCTTGATCATAATCTCAAACAAAAAACAGAAGACATTTTTGGTTTGATGGAGGAGGAGCCAGCAAATGTGACTGTCAAATGTCCTTATAGGGAGAGTTTGCAAGCAGGGAGGAGTCGGTGACATACACATCCCTTGTTTAAGAGAAAGCACAGTGTGGTGTGAGCACAACTGAGCTGCAGATCATGAGTTATCTAAGGTCAAACCTTGGCCTGGCTGTGTCTGCATGCATGTGTGGGCAAGTCCCGTGCCACCCAGAGAGCTGACAGCGTCTTCGTCTGTACAGTTTACTAAATTAGTAACGGAAGCAGTCAGCAGTGAGTATCTGCTTTATGGTGATGAGGTATTCAGTAGCAGTCAAACGACTACTTGTGATCAGATTTGAATTACTTTGTTTTATGAATCAGCTTTATTGCCAAGTAGGTTTACGCATACAAGGAATTTAGTGACTTGGTGCATGACAATTAACATAAATGTATAAATATAAAAATATGAAATTGACAAGATCTACAAAATATAAGGGAATAAAAAACTAATATGTGTAATATGGCAGATATTTCAGGTTCCTATGTCCAAACATATGTAGTACTGTAAGGGAGGGATGGAGGGTTAGGGGGCCATGACAGTCAGTGACAGTGGGGATCCTGGGCCAGCTGCAGATAGAATGTGGCTTGAGTTTTTAGTCCTCCTTCCGGAGGGGCATGTCTGAAACAGCTTGTGTCCTGGGTCTCCACATTCTCACTCCTAACTCCTCACGCCCCTTGGCGTCTCTTTTTAATGCCTTGGGTATCCCTTTAGCATCATTTTTGGACGTGTGGAGTGCCACAGTCAAGCTATCAAGAATAAATATGCAATGTCCAGTTAGAATTTCTAAATAAAAATGTGAAATGTCGTCATTTGGTTAGGTTGATGCAGCAAAAGTTCTTGGTTATGTTTAGGAAAAGATAATGGTTTGAGTTAAAATAATAACAATGCTTACATGACTTAACGAAGGCCTCTCCCTTTCAGGAGCCAAACCTCGAGACGCTGGTCTAACACCAGCATTGTGCATATGATGCCTCAACCTTGTGACAGAGCCCCCCAGACCAGAGGCACAGGCCAGGACTCTGTCACTGTTGGCTGCGTCACTTCTACCAGAATGACGAACAACTGTTTCCGCCTCACTTAACTGGAGGGATGAGATGGGGCATGCATGCACACATACAGTAGCCCTTCTGTCCATGCCGCATGTGAAACGCATCCATTCCCAGGGGTGGGCTGTCCTGTGGCTGAATCAAGAACCACAGCGGGCAGTGGGTGGAAAACAGATCCACCTCTGCTCTCCCAAAGCAAGCCCAGTTCTGCTGAACCACATCAGGTTGCAATCTCCACTTGCTCCGTTGGGGGCATGAAGTCATCTCCCCACTGTTCTCCAAGCCTGGGCTTTCAGGTACAGCAGGGCGGGGGATCACCATGCATCGCTTTTGCCTCTTGATGTCCAGATGCAGGCTGGCAAACCAACACTGTAGCCATCGCATGTGCAGCAAGCCCAGAGGGACCACCTGATGGACTGCTGCTCTGAGGCCCAACAGCAGCATCACTGACAGCGCTGTCATAGCTGTCCTCTGCTGTCCTCTGCTGCAGCTTGTGAACCACTATGAGTGTTGTCCCAACAGATACGCTCTCAGGGTGGTGGCGTTTAGCACAATCAGATACTCCGCTCGCTGCAGCGGCTGTGGGGAGCTCTCTTCCCAATTGATCGCAAACCCCAGGCTGTTGAGGTGCAAGATCAACTGGGCTATGTGGAGATCACCCAAGGCTTCAATCAGTGCGGTGTCCATGCTTCTGCTGAACGTGTGTAGGCCTATCGAGTAGTTGACGGGAAGCCTATTCATATTCGTAGGCTACTCCCTGAGAGGCGAAGTGTAAAAACTCCCTCTTACTGTGTCACCTCGACATGAAATAGGCATCTTTCAGGTGGATGGTGATGAACCAGTTACTGAGCTGCACCAGCTCCAGCAGTTTCTTTATCGTCAGCATGTGGAAACGCCTTTTCTCCATTGTGCTTGTTCAGGTACCGGAGATCCAGGGTGATTCAGAATCCGCTTGTCTTTTGGAGGACCAAAAAGTAAATGGAGTAAGACCTCTGTGCATGTCATGCGCAGACAAGCCATAAGACAGCCTGCTTCAGCGGAAGTGACGATACGGTGCAGCTAATGGCTGTTTGCGGAGCTAGCTAGCTTGCTTAGCTAGGTGCATCTTTAACTCACATTAACTGTCATTTGAACAGGGCTGATAACTTTGTCTAGCGAACAACAGTCTTAAAACTAAATGTACTCACCAGAGAAAGTGAACAGCCGACTCCTAATAAGCTTTTTCAACAGCGCTGGTTAAATTTACACAGTGCCGAGGGTACGAGTCGGTTCTAGCCCGATTGACAGGTCGCCGTGGTAACAACTTCTCAATCATAGAAACATACTCTGCTTTTTGGTCTATTTTAAAATAAATGGGACCATTATTTACTAAATGAACATCATTTTGTATGGAACAAGACTTGAAACTAGCGACTGAGACCATAAACTGCTTAAGAAAGTGTTTACCGAGGTAATTATTCAGGTAAGAAGTAGGGTCATTTTGCCATTATTTCTAATGGAGCTGGACTTCTTTTTGCAACCAGAAGAGTCGCCCCCTGCTGGTCGTTCAATAGAATACAGGTTTCAGGGACTTCTGCATTCGCATCAGATCGCTGACCGGAAGCTTCCCGCTTGGCTGCACCACTGGAAGAGACACGTTGTCTGGTTTTGTCTCTCCGGCTATAGCTGACCTAGATTGGCGTTAGCTCGGCTCGTGCACACTGACACTATTTATGTATTTGTGTATTTCCATAGTAGTTATGTTTTGTCTTTGTATCATGTATGCTTGTTTTTGGACCCCCTTGTAAACAAGACGCTGCATCTCAAGGGTCTATGCACTGATAAATTTAAATTCAAATTCCACTTTACTACTTTGTAATTGCACTTGTTACCTATTGCCATATATCCATTTGCATTTGTATCCAATTGCTACTGTTTACTGATGGTATTTACCTTTCTTATTCATTGCATTTAACATATTCAGGTAAACTTATCTCAGTCCCTTGTGTTCATAATCCATCTTTTGGCTTCAGCAAGTAAACCTATGATCTGGCCCAATTCCAGTTATCTAGATACCTTGACTACTCATTACTATGGTGGTTACCTATCTTAGTGACCAGCCATTGAGTAACTGATTACACTATTCTTCCAATATTTCATCCAGGCTTACCTACAAGCACACATTCCCATCAGTAGGAAATATCTAAATACCGTCAGGCGTTAACATGTTAACTTTAATCTCAAAAGTATATCTATATATATAAATCTATATATTGGTGTTATTCAGTCAAAGACTATACAGCATTACATTTTCACCTATCAGCTATCTGAGGGCATGTTATGTGAATCCTTTTCGTCCTCCTTTGTTTATTATTGTATATTATGTACTTTGGTGTGAAGATGACAATAAATCAACATTCATTGGAAAAATAACTTTGTCTTATGCTCTGTGAGGCTAAATGTTTGCGTCAACACTCACAGCATTTATGTGGTCAGTTTGAGCAACATGATAAGCAACAAAACAGCCCGCCTCTTTGCATTGAGAGCACACTTCATGGGGAACACTTCATTTACGGACATTGCAGAGCTTCAGTCATAAGCACTATGATGACCTTTACCTTGATAACAACTTTCATTCTCTGCAGCCTCAGTAAGTACTGCCATTTAATTATTTTTAATTTAAAACTTTTTTACTTATTACACACCTGCTGAGTTTCATTAAGAGATATTGTTTACTGTCATGTTGCTTTACAACAAGTAAGTCTTCTTGTCATCTGCTGTTTGTTTCAGGCTGGATCTCTGTCTCAGTTTCTGAGTCTCAGACTGTGGAGGTCAAGTCTGGTGAAGACGTCACACTGCTGTGCTCCAACATTTCCAAATATGACGCTGTAACATTCTGGTTCAGACTTGTCCAGAGAACCAACATCAGCTGTATCTCTGTTATGATGAAGTCTTACCGCAATGCTACATTCTGTGATGGATATCAAAGTGGAAGATTTGAAATGAGCTCCAACATCTCTGCTCTCTTTCTCAAAATCAAACAAGTGGATTTATCTGACTCTGGACTGTATTTCTGTGGATTTTACGGAAAGGCACTTCCAAGTTTCAGTGTAATATATTTAAACATTAAAGGTAAGAGTATTGTAAAGTATTTTCTGTCTTTGGATTCCCATTATTCAGTTGTGTTTTTCTGCATATATTGCAAAAAATATTTTGATAATTGTCTAAAACAACATCATGTGTGCAACATAATAGCATTAATAATTTTGATGTAAATCTGCCAAATTTAAAATCAAGAATGAATGTATCTTCGTGTCATTAAAAGACAGCGATGAGCCACATGACGACGTGGAAAGCCAGTGTAAAAGTAAGATGTTTGAAGGTAAAACAGTTCAGTTAAATTCTGTTTGGTCTATTTTCATTTCAGCCAGTTCTCACGTCTCTAAAGAGAAAATAGAGTCTAACTTAATGATCTTTCTTGTAGAAGAGTCTGACAGAATAGCAAAGCTGACAAGTGTGATCCTGGGCGGCCTGACTGTTTTCCTTGTAATAGTCATCATCGGTCTGCTTGTTAAAAACAGGAAACTTCAGACAGGTACTTCTTCAGAGCTTCTCTGTCTATCTTATATTTGGTTTAGTTGCTAGTGCCACAGACAATGATCAATAAACTGACCAGATATTTTGTTTCTGTCACTCAGCTCATAAAGAAGAACAGAATCCAAAGCAAAGAGAGGTGAGAATTTTAACACTTATTAGATCAACAAGTATATATTGTGTGAAATAAAACAGCTGTATTACACCATATTGTATTGGTTTAAATTAGCTTATCCCTGATATGTTGGCATAGTTGAGTCTTAAGTATAGACGGTAATTGTATTGCATATATATGGGCTGATAAGTTACAAGCAATTTAAGTCCAGAAAAGCCAAAAATTATGTTCAAGTTAGTTCAGAAACTGCGTCACCTTTTTAAAGCTTGTCCATTAGAGAGCAACAAGTTTATTTTTTCAACGGTGAAACGTCCTGCTCAGTAAATAACTTTGTAACAACACATTTTACGTAGTCTTGTCAGAAATATCAATCATTTCACTCAAAAATTCAGTATTTGTCAGGTAACACTGTGGGAATTAAAATCATGTCAAGTCACCGCATTAAGACGTAAAATACTCTTTTCACAGAATGTGGCTTCTGATGAGCTGAACTACGCAGCAGTGACATTTCAACCAAAAGGAAAAAGAAGAGAGCGAGAGCCGAATGTTATTTATGCCGCCACCAGATAGACTCGGGAGACATCTGAAACTGATGCTGTATCGTATTAAAATGCTTTGGGGCTTTTTTATGGCTTGTTGCAATAAAGATCTAATGTTCATTCATGTCTTTTCCTACTGCAGAGCTGTAATTCTTAGCATTTCCTTATTCTTGTCTATATAGCAAAAACATATGACTGGTGTTTGATCTAGGAGGAGTTACGAAGGGCACTTATTAGTGTCCCGATTGATTGTACTGAAAGTTTGATGAAGGTCTGCAGCAGTGAAGGAGTGAGTGAGGTACACATCACTTGTTTGACAGTAACAGACAGCACAGTGTGATCTGAGCACAATTGAGGTGAAAATCATGTGGCCTGTTCGATCAAAGGTTTCTAAAAATAAAATCTTAAAATAAAAAGTTAATACTGGCTGAGAAAATTAAAAGCTAAAACCCTTTAAGGCTGCATGGACGTTTTGGAAAACCACGCAGTACCTCAATGTCCAAACTACTGATTTTAACTGTGATAACATAGCGTGTGTGACATGATATGCTATGGGGCTGAAGACCCAAATGTAGACACTGAGGCAGAACAGGTAGAAGAAAAAGGGCTTTATGTTTAAATGAACAGACTTGAAGTCAGACACAAGGCAGTCCAAACAAGCCAAAAATCCAAAGATTCAAGGCAGGCAAACAGGTCATACACAGGCCACCGGTTATCAAACACAGGCAGCAGATATCAGGCAGAAAATGAAGAACATGTAAAACTGGAACAGGTACAAATGCAGGGTTCAACATTCATATTTTTTGTCACTCGCCCAGATGGCAAATTATTGAGAAAACCAATTACCTGAGTAGACAGTTATTTGTCCCTATACTGATTGTTTAATTTATTATCAAATAACAACAAGACTGTAATTGTTATCTTTAATGTTAATCTTTATAAATAATAAAGTAAAAATTAATCAGAACAAGCAAACATTATCTCATAGATCCTGTGGCCATTTTCTATTGTTAGGATTTTATCGACCCTCTTACTTTCGGTTCGGTTCTTTATCACTACTCTAATAGGTCCTTTTTCATTAGTAAATAATTATTGTTGTTCTTTTTACAGAATATTCTTTTAAAAAAGCATACATTCAGAACAAGATTAGATTTGAATATTTTAAATACAACTAAATGTTGTTTCTAGAGATGTAAAATAAAGTTTACAAAAGCAAAGTCAATATTTAAACTCAATATTGGACCAATGGACGGGTGGGCATTGCAGTGTTACAGTTTACATAAATAAAGTTAACACAAAGTTACAAAACATGTACAACTTACACAAAACACGCCAGATGTGCAACAAACAAGCACAAGGTAGGTTAAGAGATGAAAAATAAAATGCAATATACACTATATATTTATTCCATTACTATACTACTAAACTTAAATAGTGTCAAATTCTGTGCAAATGAGTGTAGAATGTGTATTGTACATTGTTATTCAGAAGAAATAAGTTTCCTAAGTAATAGGAAATAGGAAATAGGAAATAAGTATCTTAGATGCAGTAATGACTTTGATCTTCCTGGAAAATAAAATGTCAGTAAACAGTACATGTTTCTGCAGGTTTTTTGTTAAAGAATTGGCTTTTTCCTCGCAAAAGTTTTCATTATTACCAGGCCTACCTGATGATGATGTTTTTTTCACAGTGATTATTGTATGCATGTCTAAAGTAAAAAATGCTGAATGTTTGATTTAAGAATACCATCTACTTAGATTTTTTTCATGAATACATACTGTATGACCAGCACATACTCACCGCCATGGTGAGGTATCTGGAACGTAAACCTCAAACTCATACCACTACTTTACTTTCATATCACACAAGCTTCTTCCAGACTTATGAAAAGATACTCTTGTGCAGCTTGACTAAATAGTAATGCAAACTCCCAAAATATATGCATTAAAATATTTCAATAATTTCTAATGTACAGACCATTACTGTATATAGGAAGCCACCAGATGTCATGGAAACAGAACCTGTTTAGCCTGCCGATGAATATTTACAGTATTAATTGTAATTGAAACACAGACCTTTACAGTCCCCCTGAAGAAAAATGCTGAAAAAAAATGTTAAATGGTCCAAGTCAACTGTCTGTTGACCAAAATACATTTGAATGTTCTTCACTTGCAAAAAGGGAGAATATTTATATTTAAGTGCACTAAAAACAAAGGATGGAGCACCTATGACAAAATATCCATGTTTCATTCATCGGATGATTTAGGATTGCAGTTGCCTCTATGTTATTTCTCCCAGGCCCAGTTTGGAAGCACTTTTTTTTTAAACAACTGTATGTCATGAACAACTAGACATGAATGTGTTTTAACATTAACATCAGTATGACCTTAATTTCTGCTTCTTTCTGTTATTCAGTCAGTCCAGACAGTCTTTCTTTATTAGCTGTGCATAATCTGTTTCATCTTTAAAATCCCTTCTAAAAACACACTTATTTATAGTAGTAGTACATATGAACAGGCTTTTATGTGAATTCACTCAACCGCTGGAATCACTGTCTCGTAATATATTTTACTCCTACTTTTCATAGTTTTTTGGTATGTGAAGTTTTGATCTGTTTTTAATAGTTACTCTGTTTGTTGTTGTGTTTTTAGCAGTGTCTGTTTACATCCTATATTGTCTTTATTTTAATCTGTATTGCTGCTGTTTTGGGACTTTGTAAAAAAAAAAAAAAAAAAAAGGTATTAAGTTATTAAGTACCTATTTTTATTAAGTTATTAAGTATTTATTATTAAATTGTATGAGTATTATTATTATTATTATTATTATTTAAAGCATGTAATATTGACTTGACTCCTGAATCCTGACGATCCTGACTGAAGATTAGACTTTAATGGTATTATTAGAAGCTTATCTTTATATGTTCATTTTTTTGGAACATGACCAAGACAATATTTCAAGAACGATGACTATCTCAGACTCCATGAAATACATTTTTGCTTCATCAAACATGTTTGTGGTCTGTTTTAGGGGCAAAAAAAGAGAAGAAAAGGAAACAGCCCGCCTCTTTACATTGAGAGCAGCGTTCCTGGTCAGAGTTGATTTACGGACTTTGCAGAGCTTCGATAACAGCTTTAATTCTCTGCAGCCTCAGTAAGTACTGGCACTGAATAACTCTCATCACCTTCTTTGTCAACTTTGTTGAATTCTCTAAACCAACAGAACTGTACTAGTATTTATTGCTGCTTTTACTATGTAGTGTCAGTTGTAGATCTCGTGCTGTATTTGATGCTCTGTTGATGCTTGTAAGTTGTTCCTCAAATGTAAGTCGCTTTGGATAAAAGCATCTGCCAAATGAGTAAATGTAACTAAAATGATGTACTTATTATTAAATGTATTATAAGGTATTCTTTCTCTTAATGTTCATTTTAAGAAAGGTTTGTCTCTGCTGTTTGTTTCAGGCTGGATCTCTGTCTCAGTTTATGAGACTCAGACTATGGAGGTCCAGCTTGGTGAAGAGGTCACACTGTCGTGCTCCAACACGTCCCCATCTGACTCTTTGACGTTATGGTTCAGAGTGATCAACAGAACCAAGGCCAGATGTGTCTCCACTATGAGCAGCTCTAACAGTGATCCTTTATACTGTGATGGATTGAAAAATGAAAAATTTAACATGAGCTCCAACATCTCCACTGTCTCTCTCAAAATGAAGACAGTGGATTTTTCTGACTCTGGGCTGTATTTCTGTGGATTTTACATAGAGGGACGGGCAAATTTCAGTGCGATATATTTAAATGTTGAAGGTAAGATTATTATAAAATCCTGTTCTTGTGTTTTGTCTTTTTATATCTGCAATTTTAATTAGATTTGTATTATAGGGTCCCAGATTTGCATGGTGGTGGAGGACCCCATTTTGTGTAATAGCAGCGCAAAGGGTGATGTTACCCCCTCGCTGCACTGGCACATTGGTGATTGCCCTGTGTCCAATTACATTTCTCCCTCTTCTTGTTATCGCAAGGTTAAGTCCAGCCTCATCCACATATATAAATTCATGTTGAATTTCTGCAGCATCCATTTGCAAGACTCTCTGAAACGCAGTAAAAGACAATAGGATGCTATTCAATATCTATTGCACAGTATTTGTTTTGTGCCAGAACATTATGAGCAGTGCACAATACCACACCATAGTAAGATGAACAATACATACCTCCATATACTCATTGTGCAGATGTTTCACTCTCACTGAATTTCTGTCAAACGGTACCCGATACAGTTGCTTCATGTATATTTGTTTTTCTTGAGGATTCGACCTAATGTTGACAGAGAGACTAGTTGGATGTTATTGAAAATATGGTCATCATTGATGATATTGGCTTGGATTTCTCGCAGCCTGATACAATTATTGGTCAAAACCATGTTCACAATGTCACAATGGCGAGTGGACATACGGCCCCTTCCACCTTGGTGTCCTCGACCCTCAATCCTATGTAAAAAAAATAAAAATAAAAAAATACATATGCAGCCTACTGTCAAATGTCACAGTAAATGATATTGATGATAAGTACAGCAAGCTTCAGTTTCAGTGTACTGTGTGGTTAGCTGTGGTTAGCAACAGTTTTTCTGCTGAGATCTGGTTGAAGATCTGGTTGAACTCTTTGTCCAGCTTCCATCAGTGTCAGTCCATGGTTGATAACATGGTCAATAAGTCTTGCACAGATTTCTTGAGTCAAATTTGGTCCTCATCCTCTTTGTTCAGGTTCTATCAACTCTTCAAGTCCTTCTCTACCTGTTCCTCTACCTGGGCCTCCTCCTCTACCTCCTTCTCCTCTTCCTCCTTCATCTCCTCTTTGAGCTCCCCCTCTCATTCTCACTCTTCTTCTTCTTCTTCTAGCTCCTTCCATTTTTGTTGAAGACAGGTGAACTCACCTGCTGCCTTTTATAGCACACCTGAGTGCTGCGTTTTCAAATTAGCACATGTGTGCTTCCACACCTGGTGGATGTGATTATCCAGAGCGTTCAGTAGTGTGGTCATTGGCAATCCGGGGCTTTGTAATGACAAGGAAGTAACCTCACAATCCTTATCTGTGTCTACAAATCACTGTGTGTAATGTTGTGCAAATCTGGGGAGGTGTTTTGCTCATTGGAGTAGAATTTTGCAAATTGTGTGGAAATTTTTATTTTAGTGTGTAAACAATCGTAAAAAACTGTAATCTGCTGCCACCTGCAGATAGACACTTATTGTACGATAAAGTTCCTAGTCATGTTCAGTTTGCATTTTCTTTCTTGTGTTTTTTCTTCCTCTCTCTCTGAGAAAAAGTCTCTGGCTTTCTTATTTTGTCTGCCTCTGATTTTTATCAAATAGGAACAAGGACATGTTTGATGTTTGGTGAGGAGGAGCCACAAAGGACAGTGATGGCAGACCATTTGACTCGTCCTGTGAGTAAGTTTGAGAGTCAGGGGGAGGGAGGAGTGAGGGAGGTACACATCTCTTCACAGGAAAAGACAGCACAGTGCGGTCTGAGCACATGAAAGGCACGAGGCTTTGTAGCAAATTATAAAAAGAAACTGTGAGAACGAACCTACTTGCTTCTGACTAAATAATATCAGCCTCTTTATTTGTAGTGGAAAAAATCATAAAGAAAATAAACAATGATGGAATAAAGCACCACACTGTGGTGACAAACATTGTCTGTGTGAGTGAAAAACCCATCATGAAAACGTCAGCCTTGACCAAAAATATCAAATGACTTGCTGTTTTTCACACAACAGAGGATCATCGATGTCTTAAGGCTCTTCTGAGACTGTTTTGAGGTGGGTGTGGCCACCCTGCTAGGAGCAGTACATGTGAACTTTGACTTTGACTTTGAGTGACTGTTGGCATATGGATGTGTTCATGTGAGCATGTACACTGAAGTTAGGGCACAAGTTTAACAACTTTACCAGATACCAGAATGCCTCCTCTCAGACTCTTATGTCCACATGACACTAGGACCCATTTTTACCCTCTTCAAAGCCATGTTGTACACTGTTTATGTTGGGATGTTTTGTCTGGGATCTAAAAAAGTTTGATCAGGCCAATTGTGGCAAAGGTTGTGTAGTCTGCTTTAGATTTTAAAGGATTGGTACAATTGATGGCATCACTTTCGCTCTGAGAGAAATACAAATGTGTCTGCAGAAGAAGTGGCTCTTCCTTTCATTTGTCAACAGGTGCATGCGACGGCAGCAAAACATTCTTGCCAGTATCTTAAGTGTAGGATATCATGTGGGAAGTATTAAGATGAAGAAGATTCATATTAAGGAAAATACATTTCCTTGGTAGTTTAGTTTTGATTCTCAAATGCCAATTTCTCTGTTGCTTGATCATAATCTCAAAGAAAACATTTTTGATTTGATGGAGGAGGAGCCAGCAAAGGTGACTGTCAAATGTCCTTATAGGGAGAGTTTGCAAGCAGGGAGGAGTCGGTGACATACACATCCCTTGTTTAAGAGAAAGCACAGTGTGGTGTGAGCGCAACTGACCTGCAGTATCTAAGGTCAAACCTTGGCCTGACTGTGTTTGCCTACTACATACAAGGAATTTAGTGACTTGGTGCATGACAATTAACATAAATATATAAATATAAAAATGATAGAATACATTGATATATATTGATTTCAATAGAATACAGGTTTCAGGGACTTCCGCGTTCGCATCAGATCGCTGACTGGAAGCTTCCCGCTTGGCCGCGGACCGCACCACTGGAAGAGACACATTGTCTGGTTTCGTCTCTCCGGCTATAGCTGACATAGATTGGCGTTAGCTTGGCTTGTGCCGTCGTAGCTAAACTGAGTGCTGGTTTGGTTGAGCATAAGTTGACAATGCGGTTTGTGTATTTTAGGAACACACTCATTGTACATGAGTCCTACTACTGTCTTGCTCGGTTGCCACCAGGAAAGCGACATGGGCCAAGGGCTTCTGTCTCAGTGGTTTGACTAGCGAAGCAAAGACCCGGGCCCTCCTAGTGTCTTGCTTGAGCTTAGCCGGGAGAGCAGTGTGGGCCGTAAGTCGGACCATTAGCTTAGCATCGGAGAAGGTCCAGGTTTGTGGAGACTGGACCGTGTTACACACTGAGTCGAAGATGGAGGGGGTTCGTTGGGAGGAGAATGCTCTTTAGGAATGTACTGTGTTCAATCAGTTGAACATTCACAGCATTTTCTGTGTGTACACAAGAAGCATATGAAACATGACCCGAATAATTGCATTCTGGGGACATAACGGAGGGAGGAGGTCCAGGTCCAGAGAAATTGTATAAACTGTTCTAGTACTAGCTGGCGAGCCAGCCCCACTTGTTATAGAGCCCGGTTGTAGCCAGGAGGTTGCAATCTATAGACACTGAACCAGACACCCTTGATCTATTTCCCCCTTAGCCCAAGGGTTCAGGTAGAACTATGTGCACACTGACTCTAATTATGTATTTGTGTATTTCCATAGTAGTTATGTTTTGTCTTTGTATCATGTATGCTTGTTTTTTGGACCCCCTTGTAAACAAGATGCTGCATCTCAAGGGTCTATGCACGAATAAATTTAAATTAAAATTCTACTTTTCACCTTGTCCACTTTACTACTTTGCAATTGCACTTGTTATCTATTGCCATTAGCATTTGTATCCAATTGCTACTGTTTACTGATGGTATTTACCTTTCTTATTCATTGCATTTAATATATTCAGGTAAACATATCTCAGTGCCTTGTGTTGTTCTTTCACAGCCAGAATCCATCTTTTGGCTTCAGCAAGTAAACCTATGATCTGGCCCAATTCCAGTTATCTAGATACCTTGACTACTCATTACTATAACAAATCTAACAAATCTGGTGGTTACCTATCTTAGTGACCAGCCACTGAGTAACTGATTACACTATTCTTCCAATATTTCATCCAGGCTTACCTACAAGCACACATTCCCATCAGTAGGAAATATCTAAATACTGTCAGGCGTTAACATGTAAACTTTTATCTCAAACTGAGTATATTGGTGTTATTCAGTCAAAGACTATACAGCATTACATTTTCTGACACCTATCAGCTATCTGAGGGCATGTTATGTGAATCCTTTTCGTCCTCCTTTGTTCATTATTGTATATTATGTACTTTGGTGTGAAGATGACAATAAATCAACATTCATTGGAAAAATAACTTTGTCTTATGCTCTGTGAGGCTAAATGTTTGCGTCAACACTCACAGCATTTATGTGGTCAGTTTGAGCAACATGATAAGCAACAAAACAGCCCGCCTCTTTGCATTGAGAGCACACTTCATGGGGAACACTTCATTTACGGACATTGCAGAGCTTCAGTCATACGCACAATGATGAACTTTATCTTGATGACAGCTTTCATTCTCTGCAGCCTCAGTAAGTACTGCCATTTAATTATTTTTAATTTAAAACTTTTTTACATATTACACACCTGCTGAGTTTCATTAAGAGATATTGTTTACTCATGTTACTTTATAACAAGTCAGTCTTCTTGTCGTCTGCTGTTCGTTTCAGGCTGGATCTCTGTCTCAGTTTCTGAGTCTCAGACTGTGGAGGTCCAGTCTGGTGAAGACGTCACACTGCTGTGCTCCAACATTTCCACATATGACGCTGTAACATTCTGGTTCAGACTTGTCCAGAGAACCAACATCAGCTGTATCTCTGTTATGATGAAGTCTTACCGCAATGCTACATTCTGTGATGGATATCAAAGTGGAAGATTTGAAATGAGCTCCAACATCTCTGCTCTCTTTCTCAAAATCAAACAAGTGGATTTATCTGACTCTGGACTGTATTTCTGTGGATTTTACGAAAAGGCACATCCAAGTTTCAGTGTAATATATTTAAACATTAAAGGTAAGAGTATTGTAAAGTATTTTCTGTCTTTGGATTCCCATTATTCAGTTGTGTTTTTCTGCATATATTGCAAAAAATATTTTGATAATTGTCTAAAAACAACATCATGTGTGCAACATAATTGCATTAATAATTTTGATGTAAATCTGCCAAATTTTAAATAGAGAATGAATGTATCTTCATATCATTAAAAGGCAGCGATGAGCCACATGACGACGTGGAAGGCCAGTGTAAAAGTAAGATGTTTGAAGGTAAAACAGTTTAGTTAAATTCAGTTTGGTCTATTTTCATTTCAGCCAGTTCTCAAGTCTCTAAAGAGAAATAGAGTCTAACTTAATGATCTTTCTTGTTGAAGAGTCTGACAGAATAGCAAAGCTGAAGAGTGTGATCCTGGGCGGCCTGACTGTTTTCCTTGTAATAGTCATCATCGGTCTGCTTGTTAAAAACAGGAAACTTCAGAAAGGTACTTTTTTAAGAGCTACTGTTTCTATCTCCCCCTGCCCACTAACTCTTAAGTTGTGTGAATATGTTGAAACAATACAAATGTTCATCTTGGTCACCTGATTAGATGTATTGTCTCTGTCATTCAGCTGCCAGAGAAAACAGAATCCCCAACAGCATGAGGTGAATTAAGTTTCACTATTATCTGTTTTAATATATTAAAGGTGGTTGAATCATGTCAAGTTTTTCTCACAAACTCAGCTAGTTGACGTGTGTAACTGTGTGTCTTCTTTACAGAATCTGGACTCTGATGACCTGAAAGCACTGAGTTTGTATTCAACAACAATAAGAAACAGGAGGCCTGCATCAGAGAGAGAAGTGGAAACTCATGTTGTTTATGCTGCCAGCAGATAGACTCAGAGTGGAACTGATGCTTTTGTCATATTAACCCACTGTATTGTATTAGATTAGATTATGTACAGTGTAATTCCTCTGAATTATGGTTCAGTCCTTTGTACTAACAGTGTACCAGTGGTTTACGTACATATAGGTAGGCACTTAGAAGAATATATGACATAATGACGAAGTGACTACAAACTACGTTGTTCCTTCATAAATTAGTACTTAACCGTCCCATTGTGTTCAAATAAGTTTTACAGGCCTATTTAGCCAAGAATGTGTTTGGTTGTTAATTTGGTCACATAATCTGAGTTACCGTAAAACTTCAATGAATAGCCGAGTACCAAATAGCCGCCTTCCTCCTTTACTGGCCTGGTCTGGGAACACATTTTGACAAATAAAAGCCTGCCTTAATTAAACGCCTGGTCTGGTTTTTATAGAAGTTCTTTGGATGTATAAAACCTCTTAATCCCTGCGGGGTCGCCCGCTTTAGCTGCTTCTAAGCTGCTCAGATTGCTAATATAAATATGTTTAAAGGTATAATCAATATGTCAATATGGACATGCTGAACACTGTTAGATCTGTTGGATTCTCCACAATACCACTGTCAAGTGTCTTCTAGATTTACTGGTGTAACTTGCATGGCTACAAGAGAGAAAAAGGGGGAAAAAAGTGCTGACTCAGGTTAACTTTGAAGCGCTCGTTAAGCCCGAATGTGTCCGTTCCTTGATTATTTATATTCCTTTATTCTGTAAAGGTCCACCGACCAAAAGAATCAAAACAGCTTGTTAGAAAAATTTATCCAAGTTGTGAATCCTGTCATGTGAAGTCCACTGCTCTCAGTCTGCTAACTTCTCTCATCCTGCACCGTGTTGTTGTTTTCGTGAGGCTGCTGCCTTCAAAATAAAAGCGCATAAGCAGTCTGTTGGAGCTAGATCAAATGAATGACGTGTATTTGATATTATTTGATCATTTTTACGCAGGGTTAATTTAGTGATTTTAGCAAATAAAAGCAATTTTTCCACCATTCCATTCAAAGTTTTATGGTAGGTATATCTACGTAAAGAGCTCTGCTCCATCATGTAGGCGACTTGGGTTCAAGTCCCACTAACAGTGCTTTAGAAAACTGTCTGAATACCCTGTAGTTAACCCTGTAACTTACAAAGGAAGAACTTCATTTGTCTATCTTACTGTGGAACTACAGACAAAAGTTCTATTTTTACTATTTATTTCCTGGGATGAAATGAGGCCATACTCAAAGCTGAAAAAGGTAAGCTTGCACACCTTAAGGAGCAGTAATGTTGGTCAAACACAACTGCCAGGGAGAAAAATTTTCATCTTCGATCAACTTTGATGACTTTCAACTTCAATTGCCCCGAAACACAAGTAAGTGGCATCTAGGGTGGGTAAATTCTGTCCATTGATGGCAGGCGAAGACATCAGGCCATAAACTGTGAAGTGTCCATTAACAAAGTTTAATAATGAGGTGAATGACAGCTGAGATGGTCTTCAAAGGTCGACAGTATCCATGATGATGCAGTGTTCTCTGGATTTTGTTCCAAAGTTAACACACATGCAGCTGTAGTTGTTTTAAGGACTCCAAAATTATAAAGGAACAAAAGGTTGCCTGTTTGTTGCTAATAAGGCCATTATAAAATAGAGTCATATGTAGAAAGTGATGCAGAAGTCATCACCCCATCTTCCCTGAAACATCCAGATTTATGATCAGTAGTTTTATGGTCAAACTGTACCCTGTAATAATAGAATAGGTACCCAGTAATTAGAAATAAAATAACATAACAATAAGTTCTTTAGATCCTGAATTGTTGGAGGTCTTCAGCAGTGGAGGAGTGAGTGAGATACACGACTTGTTTGACAGGAAGAGACAGCAGAGTGTGGTCTGAGCACAGCTGAGGTGAAAATCATGAGGCCTGTTAGATCAGTGCTCTGCAAGAACAAAGTCTGAAATACTGGCTTTCCTCTGTCAAGTAGACAAAGTGATCTGGTTCTACATTTGTATAGATGTTTTGGAAACTGGATATTTCCTCTATGATGTCAATGTGTTACATGTCTAAATAAAACATACAATATATTTTTAAATGATCGGTAGTTGTACATGTGAATATAAATATTTATGACACCCACACACCCATATTGTTGCACTTTGCAGCTTGGTGATAAACAGCACTTTCTATGTTAGGGAGATATCTTTATCTGCCGCTTCACACCTCTAACAGTCTCAGACGCTATTTCCACATTGTGTTTAAACATCTGAACTCGAAACTGTCAACTGAGTGACACTTTAACAGCCTCACATGAAATGTGCTCAGTCCTTTCAGTGCAGCTGCCTGCATGTTACTTACATGAAAAATGTCAATTACTTGTTACTTGTTACTCATTTTACTAAAAAAAACACAATGCTGTAGTAACTACTCACCAATAGAAGGAACTTCATTATATTATTAGCTGTGACTAAGATCAGTTCAATCAAAGGTTCCAACAACCAGTTACCATTTATAGTTGTTCTGGTCAGCTAAAGGATGGGTGAAAAGCTGGCCATCATAGGGGTGAGGAGACGCCAGATGATTTAAATATGGGGATAAAGAAGTACATTTTCAGACAGTCTCTCCAAGAAGACATTCATAGTGCTGCACTAGTAGTTCAGTGACAGAAATAGTTTCAAGGATGAAAAAATAAGATAGAGAAAGAAGTTCAAACCCTGGGTCCTTTCTCACCTCTGCAGAGCTGACCAATCACAACATGAAGTGGGTGTGACTGTCAGATCCTCTTTTTTTCAGAAACTCACAGAAATGGTTGGACACAGATCCCCTCAGTTAGGGGATAATGGGATAATAAATAAGGCAGGGAACCCAACGTCATGGCCAGTCTCAACGGTCACATTCACAACAAACAACATTATTAGCTTTTATAACAACACACAAAGACTGCTTCATAAACCATCCAACACATCTTCAGTTTCAAGAGCCAAGTCATTGAAGTCAGTTGCACCTCCTTAAGGAATAATAATTCATAAATCTGGATGGCCTTGTGGTGATCATTGTGAAGCTCTGTTAGTTCTGAGTTACAGGAGGTACTTCCCTCTGACAGAATGTGGCATCCAGGCAGAGTGTACAGAGTACACAGGTCTTTAGTTTCAAAATTATGTATCCCCTGCTGGTGAAAACGTTGCTCTGCTCCACCATAACTGGTTTTCCCTCCCGCATACTCAGCTCTTTTCCCGTTTTGAAACAGGTCCTGTTTCAAAAAAGGTAAGGCTGTAAGTATTTTGTGTCTTTTGTTTGGAAATAAACAGCTATATGTTCAGTTGGACCCTGGCAAAATAGTGACTGTGATGTAAAATGGGCTGTAGGACACAAAAGAAAATCTTGATTGGCTGATATCCTACCTAGTCTGTGTGTGTGCATGGTATCTTTAGTTTAAGTAAATCGGACTCAAATTCATTGCTACAGTTTGACTTTTTCACTCGTAGCTATCAAGTATGTCTACCAAGTCATTTTACATACAGCAGAAACACACACACCCACACACCAGAGGATCATGGAGAAAAGGTGGAGGTGTCTGTTAGCAGTGGCTGGTTTAGCGACGTTACAGTGATTCAGCAGCACTGTTCTCCTAATCTGGAATTTCTTATCATTAACTGTAAACCGTTTTACACCCCTGTGAGTTTGCTTCATTCACTCTGGTCGGTGTTTACAGTCCGCCCCGGGCCAACGTTCATGAAGCACCCCCTTCCCCAGAGCTGGCAAACTCCACCCCCTCTCTCCTTCACTTTTCAGGAGGCAGAAACCCCGCAAAGCAGCTGGGCCGGACTCTGTCTCCCCATCCACCCTGAAGCACTGTGCTGATCAGCTGACATTTTTAACACCTCACTGGAGACATGCCATGTGCCAGCCTGCTTCAAAGCCTCCTCCATCATCCTTGTCCCCAAGAAACCAAGGAACACTGGACTAAACGACTACAGACCCGTCGCCCTGACCTCTGTGGTTATGAAGTCCTTTGAACGCCTTGTGTTGCCCCACCTAAAATCCATTATAGACCCACTCCTGGACCCCCTGCAGTTCGCCCACAGAGCCAATAGGTCTGTAGATGATGCAGTAAACATGGCTCTTCACTCCATCCTCCAGAACCTGAACTCCCCAGGAACCTACGCCAGGATCCTTTTTGTGGATTTCAGCTCTGCTTTTAACATCATCATCCCGGCCCTGCTGCAGGACAAGCTCTCCCAGCTGAGCGTGCCTGACTCCACCTGCAGGTAGATTACAGACTTCCTGACGGACAGGAAGCAGCACGTGAAGCTGGTAAAACATGTCTCTGATTCCAGGACCATCAGCACCGGGTCCCCTCAAGGCTGCATTCTTTCCCCCCTTCTCTTCTCCCTGTACACCAACAG